AGCCAAACAAGTTGGTAACTATGATATTAAGATAAGTAACATATTTTGAAGTACAATTAAGGCGTTTTTCAAAAAACGTGTACATGTGACGAACCGGAAATTGAGTGAAACAAAATTATTAATCTGCAAAATTTTATTACCAGCCACTAAATAATAGTATAAGGGACATATTTTTGAAATTTCACGTTACTCTTCTGTATAAAAATTCCGATGCGTCACAAAAGGAAATCTAATATTTATTTCAAGGTATTAATATTATTTTAACACGCGTGGCACGTAACTATAAACATTAATGCAAGCTTTCTTTAAGTATGCCTAAAAATTCACACTTAAAAGAAAATATTGTTTTATAAGCACAATTACTTCTGGTTAGTCACGAACTTGACCAAATTAATGAAGAAGAATCAGTTTATTTTAATAAAAATAGCATTTAAAAAAGATTTTTTAAGAAATGGGTTAACTTAATTTATAATGTATATTTTGGCACTAAAAACGACACTAACATCTAATAAATAATTACGGATTTTTGAAAAAAAAATCAACAAAAACATTTGGGGACAAGTAACTATCAAGAATTTCGCGTGACTATTGGGAAACATAAAGATCAGTACAGAAGAGTGACACGTTGCGATGTTTTCGGTATACTTTGTGGGTGATTATAACGTGGATTTGGACTTTTTCGTTAAATCATTTAAAACTATGTTCTTTATCATTTTCTTTTCTTGATGCGACTTTGTAATTAAATAGGATTTCCGCAATGACAATTCTAGAATCTTTTGTCGACCTTTTAGTCTGTCTATAGTATTTTATTTTTCTTGGCTCTCCTTTTCATATGCTAGCTTTTGACAATATAATTATAAAGATATTAATAGTTACTTTGCAACCATCCGCTCAATTAAATAAAATGTGTCTTACCTAGTTTGAAGAGCACCTCCCCCACCCTCAATTGCGTGCACTAATCCCGTCACCACTAATCCCAGTACCACTGCTCCTAACACCACTATTCTAGGAAAGACACACCATCGCCGATAATACGACACGTGTTTCGGCGCTACACGAGGCATCTTCAGGTGATGTAGACTACGGCGGCTGACGGCTGACTTAGTGGTCTTAGCACATGATCGATGTCCACTACTGGAAATACATATTGCCTTATAATTCCAGACGTCACGAAATTCTTTCCGATAATAAATCACGTGACTATCTGGACGTGACGAATCTTCGCTCAAAAGGTTTGAAAATTATTATTAAATCAGACAAAAACTTTAAACATTCTATTTTACTGATTTCAAATACTTTACAAGCTAATTTATATTTTAATGCTATTCATTCAACAATAAGATATCATTTACCAATATAAACAGACGTAACAATCTGGAACAAACTTTTTGACTTCGAACAACACGACTGCTTTCGTCACGTAATAGTCGATACTAGAAGAGCTCTGGCAAATTAGCGGCAGTTCACATTGTCAATATGAGTGCTGCCAATACAAAACGATATAAATTGACTAAAAATTAATTTGTTTGGAGTATAAAAATTGCCGTGACGGTATATATACATGCCATTTTCGAGGGACAAAGTAAAAAATAGACATTAGAAAATTATACCGTGTTTTAAAAGCCTTAGGGTATATTATCCGTTTTAGGAAGAAATATGCAATAAATAGTCAAAAAAAAATACATTCCTAAGGCAAACATACACATTTCTATTTCATTGTAAATCCGCCAAGGAGACCAGGGGACATGTCAAATCATAACGTTCGCCTGTAGTTTTTTGTGTTTTTAAATGTTTCTCTTTAAATGCATGATTTAGTTAATCGAATTTTAATTATATAAATATTTTTTGTACAAGAAATTACGGTTTATCACTAGAATTTACAAGGTAATAATAATAAAAAATAAATGTTAATGTCTGGGACAGAACAAATTTTCGACGTACACTTTTCCTGAAAAACGCCCATTATCAAAGTTTTAATTTAATTTGTTAATATTAGCTGCAAATTCACTTACTTGTGGAATGTTATATCATTTTCCTTTTAGTAACGAGTTCTACAAATTACGCACACTCTCATTATTATTAAAAATAATTCTTATTATGTTATGTCTTAGTTTTGTTATGTTGTCAACTAAAATCATACACAATCAAACACTATAAAAATATTTTCGTTTTTAGTTTAAAAGTTCAAAATACAGAATTTTTAAATAAGACAATTTAAATAAGACAACAACCTTTGGCATTCAAATTCGCACAGACATTTTGTATGGTATAGCCAGTCCAGCGCACTTGTATATATAGAGGTCAGTGGTCTACCAACATCACTTATCTTCTCTTCCGCCCCTATTGATATGATAACTAAAAATATGATTGGTGAAGTGGTAGGGTTGCTAATTTTAAATTCGGGGAGAAAGATCACAAAATGGTGACGCTAATTCCCGGGTGCGCGACGACAAATTATTCGCACTAGTGCACGACGATAAATGCACCTGCGCTAGCGGTCACTACTAAGTTGTTCTGTGGTGCTATCATATCTAATTTCTAGCAACTGCTTAGTGCCGGGGTACGTCAACAACTCTGGTCGGCCGGTGGCGTGCTTTCGACCTTTCACTTTCGGCCAGCGCGTCTCATTGGTCGCGTGAAATAACGCCACCATGTCTAGCTTCCAATTGGCGTGAACGCGCAGGAAGAAAGCGGAAGAGAAGAAGATATAGCTAACTAATGAAGTTAAATAAGTGTGTTTCGGAGCAACCAATGATAACGTATAGATAATCCACGACTCCTACTTACAACAGTCCGCACGCGCAGTCAATCCCAATTTGTGAACAAACAACGGGTTTCTTAGATAGTTTGGTATGTATGATGCTGACAGTCGAGTTTATTACGGGCTATGATAATAAAGCGACAAAAGAACGTACACAGCTGTGCAGTTTTTACTAATTTTTGCAACTTAAAGAGTACTTTTTATTATTTGTTGTCGTTATTGGTGGTTTTAATGCTATATAGAGTATCACTGTATAAAAGTCAAGCTAAAACAACCAAAGCCGAATGATTTCGAGGGGACTTTGTCGTTAAATCGAGTGACGTTACATGGAGTTTACACTGTATATGTATGTTACTCTGACGGAAAGACAGACACTGTCTTCGACTTCTGTAGAGTAGTTTTGAGACACTTTCGATTTAAGAACGTTTAATTCGTATTTTATAACACTTTATTGTACACTTAACAAAAAATAGAAAACCTAATTAAAAAGATAGAAAAAACAAGAGGCACGTTACAGTTGTCATGTAGAGCCACGCTATAGCTATATTATAGTTGTTGTGGCACAAATCGGTCGGCTCACGCGGGGAAGGACCACGTCCCCACAGGATAATAATGTAAAACAGCAGTTTAATGCTGTTGTGTTTCGTAAGGTGACTAGAGGACCGGAGACTCATTAAACTGGAAACGAGTCATTTCTTTTTAGTCCTCAGTGGTGACAATGCATTTACATTTTGATAATTAATCGAGGATAGATGTAGTTAACATCAGAAGGTCTAGGTGATCGTTTTTTAAACTGTTAGTATACAAAAACAGTAGTCTTTTTGCCACGCGAGAGTCCCAAGGAAGTGCTTTGAGTGTTTCCCGTGGTTCAGTCTGTATGCCGGATGGCGTGGAGATGTGTAAGCAGGATACTTGCGTAGCCACCGGCTAGAAGCGCTACCTTCGCTACGGGCACATTGTGGTACCTACGCGTGGGCCGGTAGACAGGCGTCCTACCTGTACTAAAATTTTTTTTGAAGTAAAACTTCTTTACGCAATCTTGACTTGCGGAGTAAGCTGGCGAACGCGTGACGAAGGCGTTACGAAAAGTGTGATCGGGCAATGCGAACGGGAGTTGAGTGGGGGATATAAGCAAGAAGCAGTGCGCGCGCACATTTTCTTTCTCTCTTTCTCTCATAGCCAGTTATTTTTCATAATTTTATTTCGTTTTGAACAATTCTATGAATTAATATTTTGTTCAATACATTAAATATTTTACGTTTAAAGTGCATAAAATTGTAAATTCATTTTAAAGTTCATGTTTTGGTCCAACTCATGCTCGATAAACTTTAATGTTACATTTTTACGAATTTTTATGTATTTATTTCTACCAAACCGTAATAGGTACTGAAAAATAAAATAGTAGGTAAAATAGGCATATCATTAAGATAACAAAAAAGAAAAATAAAAAAAAATCGGTCCCCATTTGCAGATGGAGAATCAATAATATTGATGCAAAGGTTGATTTTCTGGAAAATTTATAATCAACCCTTATCTTTAAACCACACAATTTGGGTATAGGACTTAACTTTTTTTTAAACAGTTCTTCCATGATCTACAACACCCTTTCATTTGATCGTTACGTTCTGGGACACCTTGTATAATATATACATACAGATGGAACTAAAGAGGTTTTATTTCAGTCGTGTGGTCACTCGTTTTTTTTTATAGAATAAGGGTGACAAAGGAGCAAACAGTCCATTTGATGGTAAATGGATGCTGTGGCCCATAGACATTTACATTTATCTTTAATTAAGAATCAAAATGCAGATGCGTTGCCAGCCCTGAGAACTGAGAAGGAGTGCCTCGTTTCCATTAAAAAGGGTCTCTGGTTCTCTACACTCACCATACGAAACACAGCAGTATTAAGCTGCAATTTTACGCTGGTATTCTGTGAGTGCATGGTCCCACCCCAGTCGAGTCGACCCATTCGTGCTGCAACCACAATATAGCTGCAACATGGCTCTATCACGTTAAGAAAGTAGTTGCCTTTGGGAATGAGATGGTCGCTACCATGCTGTTTCTAAAGGTTTTATTTTTGTTAATTTACAAAAATAGTATCGCTGTGTTTCTTGCTAGTTCTTCCCAGGATTTTTTCCGAACCAGTGGTAAAGCTTAAACGACTTCTAATAAGTATTTTTGCATTCTATATGGAATGAAAATTGCTGTATTGTTTTGGAGGCGTCGTACCCGCGCTGCGTCACACGGTGACGCCGACGTGTCCCAGCGCCTGCGCCAGGCGCTGCAGGTGCGCGCGCATGGCGGCAGCAGGCAGGCCACGGCGAGCGCCGATCACTTTGAACGCGTTCAGGTACTCCAGCTCAGAGAACTGAGGGCCCTTCTCGCGCACGCACGTTATTATCTCCTGAAACAAACACTATCAATATATAATATTCCAATAAAAAAAGTGGTAAGATTAAAACTAAAATGAGAACATCATCAATATATTCGAAGTCAATTACATAAGCATTATTAAAAATAACTCAAAAACTACTGTTCAGATCTTGATCAAATTTATATGGGGCCACACGAGAAGCAGCAGTTTTCAAATAAAAAAAAGTCATCAAAATCGGTTCACACAGAAAAAAGTTCACACATATATATAACAATATACAGTCGAAAATCGGCTTTCGTTTGTATATTTTTTTAAAACGGTTAAAAATACATTGATTAACATTGGGTAAATCGCGCAAGAGAGTGTCAAGAATCTCCGGTGGAAGTTCGGTTCCCACCCAAGACTACTCAACCTGGCAACATATAACACCCTGAGTACTAACGAGAACATCCTGGAGATAGAAGAAGAGGTAGATAAATTGCGCTAGTATATTGTAGGATTTATCCAACATCCGAAGAGAGTCCTGCTGCAACTTATTCTATCGCCGGGAGGGCAACCGTCTGTCCCAGGGAAGTTTCGGATTTATCGTTCGTAAGTCTCACATCAACAACGTTGTAAAGATTGGAAGTGTGTCGAAGAGAGTTGCGTACCTGATACTCAGAATCACCAAATAGTATTCGCTAAAGGTTACAGTACGCAACAACTCGACACACAAAAAAATATATCTCTAGAGCCACGCATTTCTCCAAAAACCACTATATGGTGTTGATGACAGACTTTAACGCAAAATTACACAAACTTACACAAGAGAAAGCGGTGAGCTGAATGTAGGGAAATTTGGAATAGGGCAACAAAACCTAAGGAGCCAGTAGCTGGCCGACTTCATGAAGAAAGAGGAACTCTTTATGATAAAATCTTTTTTCCAAAAGCAGCCCCACAGAAAGTGGACCTGGTCGAGCCTCGACGACGACCAGACGCCAACTGTTCAGTGATGACTGTGATCGCGAGGGGGAAAACTAATACCGACACCAAGTGGTTAGAGGCATACTGAACCTAAGCGTTAAGTTGGAGAGGTCACGTCTAATGAACTCAACGTTCTGTCTCCTTCGTGCGCTAATCCAGGGTCCTGAAAACTTTCAGCTCGAATTACTGCGTACTGCACTTCGAGCGTGCAGGCCAGCAACCGCAGGTACGCGTGCGCGTCATGCAACCCGTCGTGCGGTAACTGCGGTGCGGTGCGGCTCCCCTTGGGCGTGCAGGCCAGCAGCTGCAGATACGCGTGCGCGGCGTGCAGCCCGTCGTGCGGCAGCTGCAGTGCGGTGCGGTGCGGCTCACCTCGGGTGTGCAGGCCAGCAACTGCAGGTATGCGTGCACGGCGTGCAGCCCGTCGTGCGGCAGCTGCGTTGTGGTGTGGCTCACCTCGGGCGTGCAGGCCAGCAGCTGCAGATACGCGTGCGCGGCGTGCAGCGCGTCATGCGGCAGCTGCTGCTGCGGTGCGGCTCACCTCGGGCGTGCAGGCCAGCAGCTGCAGATACGCGTGCGCGGCGTACAGCCCGTCGAGCTGCAGTTGCGGTGCGATGCGGCTCACCTCGGGTGTGCAGGTCAGCAACTGCAAATACGCGTGCGCGGCGTGCAGCATGTCGTGCGGCAGCTGCGTTGCGGTGCGGCTCACCTCGGGCGTGCAGGCCACCTGCAACGCGTGCGCGGCGTACGCAGCTGCAGTGCGGTGCGGTGCGGCTCACCTCGGGTGTGCAGGCCAGCAACTGCAGATACGCGTGCGCGGCGTGCAGCCCGTCTTGCGGCAGCTGCAGTGCGGTGCGGTGCGGCTCACCTCGGGTGTGCAGGCCAGCAGCTGCAGATACGCGTGCGCGGCGTCAGCTCAGCAGCTGCAGTGCGGTGCGGTGCGGCTCACCTCGGGTGTGCAGGCCAGCAGCTGCAGGTACGCGTGCGCGGCGTGCAGCATGTCGTGCGGCAGCTGCGTTGCGGTGCGGCTCACCTCGGGCGTGCAGGCCAGCAGCTGCAGATACGCGTGCGCGGCGTGCAGCATGTCGTGCGGCAGCTGCATTGCGGTGCGGCTCACCTCGTGCGTGCAGGACAGCAGCTGCAGATACGCGTGCGCGGCGTACAGCAGCGTGCTGCAGTGCGGTGCGGTGCGGCTCACCTCGGGCGTGCAGGCCAGCAGCTGCAGATACGCGTGCGCAGCGTGCAGCATGTCGTGCGGCAGCTGCGTTGCGGTGCGGCTCACCTCGGGCGTGCAGGCCAGCAGCTGCAGATACGCGTGCGCGGCGTGCAGCATGTCGTGCGGCAGCTGCGTTGCGGTGCGGATCACCTCGGGCGTGCAGGCCAGCAGCTGCAGATACGCGTGCGCGGCGTGCAGCGCGTCGTGCGGCAGCTGCGCTGCGGTGCGGCTCACCTCGGGCGTGCAGGCCAGCAGCTGCAGATACGCGTGTGCGGCGTACAGCAGATGCAGTGCGGTGCGGTGCGGCTCACCTCGGGTGTGCAGAACAGCAGCTGCAGATTCGCGTGCGCGGTGTGCAGCATGTCGTGCGGCAGCTGCGTTGCGGTGCGGCTCACCTCGGGCGTGCAGGCCAGCAGCTGCAGATACGCGTGCGCGGCGTGCAGCATGTCCTGCGGCAGCTGCGTTGCGGTGCGGCTCACCTCGGGCGTGCAGGCGCAGATACGCGTGCGCGGCGTACAGCAGCTGCAGTGCGGTGCGGTGCGGCTCACCTCGGGTGTGCAGGCCAGCAACTGCAAATACGCGTGCGCAGCGTGCAGCATGTCGTGCGGCAGCTGCGTTGCGGTGCGGCTCACCTCGGGCGTGCAGGCCAGCAGCTGCAGATACGCGTGCGCGGCGTGCAGCATGTCGTGCGGCAGCTGCGTTGCGGTGCGGCTCACCTCGGGCGTGCAGGCCAGCAGCTGCAGATACGCGTGCGCGGCGTGCAGCGCGTCGTGCGGCAGCTGCGCTGCGGTGCGGCTCACCTCGGGCGTGCAGGCCAGCAGCTGCAGATACGCGTGCGCGGCGTGCAGCATGTCGTGCGGCAGCTGCGTTGCGGTGCGGCTCACCTCGGGCGTGCAGGCCAGCAGCTACCTCGGGCGTGCAGGCCAGCAGCTGCAGATACGCGTGCGCGGCGTGCAGCGCGTCGTGCGGCAGCTGCGCTGCGGTGCGGCTCACCTCGGGCGTGCAGGCCAGCAGCTGCAGATACGCGTGAGCGGCGTGCAGCAGCTGCAGTGCGGTGCGGTGCGGCTCACCTCGGGTGTGCAGAACAGCAGCTGCAGATTCGCGTGCGCGGCGTGCAGCATGTCGTGCGGCAGTTGCGTTGCGGTGCGGCTACCCTCGGGCGTGCAGGCCAGCAGCTGCAGATACGCGTGAGTGGCGTGCAGCAGCTGCAGTGCGGTGCGGTGCGGCTCACCTCGGGTGTGCAGGCCAGCAGCTGCAGATACGCGTGCGCGGCGTGCAGCCCGTCGTGCGGCAGCTGCGTTACGCTGCGGCTCACCTCGGGCGTGCAGGAAAGCACCTGCAGATACGGGTGCGCGGCGTGCAGCCCGTCGTGCGGCAGCTGCGTTGCGGTGCTGCTCACCTCGGGCGTGCAGGCCAGCAGCTGCAGATACACGTGCGTGGCGTGCAGCAGCTGCAGTGCGGTGCGGTGCGGCTCACCTCGGGTGTGCAGGCCAGCAGCTGCAGATACGCGCGCGCAGTGTGCAGCCCATCGTGCGGCAGCTGCGTTACGGTGCGGCTCACTTCGGGCGTGCAGGCCAGTAGCTGCAGGTATACGTGCGCGGCGTGCAGCCCGTCGTGCGACATCTGCGTTGCGGTGCGGCTCACCTCGGGCGTGCAGGCCAGCAGCTGCAGATACGCGTGAGTGGCGTGCAGCCCATCGTGCGACAGCTGCGTTACGGTGCGGCTCACCTCGGGCGTGCAGGAAAGCACCTGCAGATACGGGTGCGCGGCGTGCAGCCCGTCGTGCGGCAGCTGCGTTGCGGTGCTGCTCACCTCGGGCGTGCAGGCCAGCAGCTGCAGATACGCGTGCGTGGCGTGCAGACCGTCTTGCGGCAGCTGCAGTGCGGTGCGGTGCGGCTCACCTCGGGTGTGCAGGCCAGCAGCTGCAGATACGCGCGCGCAGTGTGCAGCCCATCGTGCGGCAGCTGCGTTACGGTGCGGCTCACCTCGGGCGTGCAGGCCAGCAGCTGCAGGTACACGTGCGCGGCGTGCAGCCTGTCGTGCGGCAGTTGCGTTGCGGTGCTGCTCACCTAGGGCGTGCAGGCCAGCAGCTGCAGATACGCGTGCGCGGCGTGCAGCAGCGTGCTGCAGTGCGGTGCGGTGCGGCTCACCTCGGGTGTGCAGGCCAGCAGCTGCAGATACGCGCGCGCAGCGTGCAGCCCAGTCGTGCGGCAGCTGCGTTACGGTGCGGCTCTCCTCGGGCGTGCAGGCCAGCAGCTGCAGGTACACGCGTGCGCGGCGTGCAGCGCGTCGTGCGGCAGCTGCGTTGCGGTGCGGCTCACCTCTAGCGTGCAGGCCAGCAGCTGCAGGTACGCGTGCACGGCGTGCTGCCCGTCGTGCGGCAGCTGCGGTGCGGTGCGGTGCGGCTCACCTCGGGCGTGCAGGCCAGCAGCTGCAGGTACGCGTGCGCGGAGTGCAGCCCGTCGTGCGGCAGCTGCAGCGCGGCCAGACAGTGCCGAAGCGCCGCGAGCCGCGCACCCGCCGCCGCCGCCTCGCCCGCGCCGCGCTCGCTCTGCCAACGCCACACGACCGCCGCTGACATCATTTCACCGAGCCCGTTCATTATGTACTGCAACATTATTTATTTTATTTTTACATCACTCTGGCATTATCACAGATGTGGTCGTAATCCCTCACGTCCACGTCCGCCAATATGTTTAGAGGTGAAAAGCGAGCCAGGATTGTCGACGCATCATAGGATCTTGGGGTCGGTGACCTCGAAGCCTTACGGAGACGAAGTACAGGTGTGCGCACCTACTGTTAAGTGACACACCGAACCCTAGGAGCTTACTTTCTAGTAATAGCTTATATGCAATTATGAGATTGCGTTGCGTATTACTTCCCGCTTGGGACAAATCTTCCTAGGAGAAGTTGGGACGAATTCAAATCTCAACATACAGCCGAGTATGTCTCTCCGACACGTTGCGTACACCCATTGCTAAGAGACGCATCGTACCCCCGGCAATCGACGTTCGACTCTAAGAACTTTCCTTGCAAACTGTAGATTTTAGTTCAACACCGTCGAATGGCCAGTTTTTTCCCCACGCACGCGCTCCATAAAGATTTGCAGATCGTATAACTCCTGCATAAAGGCAACATTCTACCTCCATCGATTGCAGCAGCAGTCTATGCATAGCACTCGCCACGCTCTCGATCCGGGACACTAGGCGTTTATAATGTTCTACGAAGCCCCAGTTACTGTCCAGATGGAGGCTTAGGAACGTATGTATCTCCCCGCTCTGGTGTCAGATCCACCCACGCGGTCGCGAGAATCAGAAGGTTACATGCCCCATGGTAATTTATAGAACCATAGAGCAAGGCCCTATGATTTCATGAATATTAGGCGCTACTTCTTATCCCAACTCGTTGATTTCTGCAACGACGACTTCCAAGCTCGGCGAGCTCCTTGGTCCTCTCGAAACTGATCCGACTGACCAACACCAACGTGTCGTTTGCATAGGAAGTGATATCTACAACAACGCGAAGATCGATACGTTGAACAAAGGCGAAGTTCCAGAAGCACGGCGGCGGCGCGCTCGTGGAAGGCGAGCAGCGCGTGCTCCAGCCGCGCCACGCTGCCCTCGTCGCGCTCCTCCTGCCCTAGACACCCCCTCCTCCTGCCCTAGGTAGTGTAGACAGTACGCACCGCGCGGCGCGACGGCGCCAGCACGGCGGCGGCGCGCTCGTGGAACGCGAGCAGCGCGTGCGCCAGCCGCGCCGCGCCGCTCTCACCACCCTCCCCGCCGCCTGCCTCACCCGCCGCCTCGTCGCGCTCGTCCTGCCCCAGGTAGTGGAAGCACTCGATGCGCATCTACGAACAAACGATTATGATTTCATTGATCTTAATATTCTGACCCTACCATCTTTATATATATTCGAAGTAGCTATGTTTGTAAGGAAACATTTTAGCATATTTGAAAACGCTAATAATTAACGACATAGGAACAAACTACGTACAAAACCTCTAAAACAGCCCTGTATTCAAAAAAGTTTCCTGGGTATGGCTCCTAAAATTTTTAATAAACTCCCAAAAAACATCAAAGAAACTGATAACATAGACAAATTTAAGAAATTGCTTTCGAGTTTTTTTTAATAAATAAAGCATACAACTCTATCAAGGAATATTTTGAAGACAAAATGAATGGTCTTTAGTACATACAATAATTAATGTCAGATGTATTTATCTTTATGGTGTTAAGAATTATGTAATTTCTAAATTTACGAATTATAATTGAAATTGTTATTTTATTAAAATAACAATTTTAATTTCATATTGCGAGGTGATAGTGATATACAAATATTTGTATGCCTTTTTAGGTAAACATAGTGTTACTTATCACACATTTTCCACCAAGTTTGCAACTTTTTACCTGTTTTACAAATAAATTATTTGATTTGATTTGATATATTTTTTCCTAATGGACAATTCGATAATTTGTTATTATACTTTATTCATTTAACAATTTTTAATAAAAATACATTTTTCTTTTACTTAGTCAGAGCTTGTACACCATTCCACTTGGTGGTAAGTAGTGATGAAGCCCTAGATGGTAAATCGCACCTTCTTAGCGTAATTAAAGATTTATTCACTCTTGCATTGAAGACTAACAGATCGTCATCGGACGTAGTTATTGCCGTCCTGTCTAACAAGGAAAATCTCTTCTACTTAAATACTGTATGTTTAACACTCCTTAAATATACTACTTCAAAAAGTTACATAACTTTAAATATCCAGTTTATTTATTCATTTAATAAAAACTATTTATAATTAAAATTAGTTCTTGTCCTTAGATCTTAATATTGATCCGATAACTGTCCACTCTTCCCAAAAATTCTACATTACAGGGAAAATCTATTGTATTTACATTCTGCATGTGAAGCACACTTCAAACCTCTAACTTTACACACTTACCTCCAAATGCAAAAAAAGTAGGCACTTCTGGGATATATCTTCTAAAACAGCGGCAGCCGATGAAACCTCACTGATGAACTTTTCCGTAAGTTTTAGCGAAGTGCCCGTTGAAGTTGGCGCCGATACGAAGCTCGGCAATGTTTTGATATTTTCGCTAAGCCAGTCCTATAAAGGTATAATTTAAATATATAAGATAAACAGAAATTAATAATAACATTGATTTAAATAAAGAGAACATTACAATACATTGGTCTTAAAAATATAGAAATACACATACGTGTGTATGTTTGTGTAATTGTGTGCATGCATGACTGTATATACTGGATGACCTTTTTTACCGTCTGGAAAAAAACAAAGTGTAACAGGTAGACGGAGTTGAAGCCTAAGCCACTGATATTTTACAAAAAAAAACTAAAATAATGAATTAAATAAATAAATCGATTGAAATCTATCGAAACTCAAATTATACCCACCCTAGTTTTACGAGCGGCAATAAAACAATAAATTCTTTGTCAATAATCCTTTCGCAGGGTCACAGGCTCAAGGGCAAAGCCTACCCGCGCCCTCAACTCTCATTTCATTTACCCGTAGTTGGCTGTAGCGTGAGGTCGCGTCGTCGTCTTATTCTTTATGTTTCCGCGTGTGTATCGTAAACACGTACCAATACTCTAATATCGAGTATCATCTAATAATTACGAGGTTGTATGTGTTGTCTGGTGAAAACTTAGACGGTGCGAACAATAGATATTTATCCGTGTTGGAATTTATGGATGTCGATTGACGGGAGTAAGGTATCTGCAAATGATACGTTACGTCATAGACACAATGTTTCAAAACGTTCCTATGAGCCATCTGCATCCCTCTGAGAGCCATCTGAAGGAATGTACTTCCAGCATGATGGATGTCCAGCTAATTACGAACGGTCTGTGCGCGCATATCTGGACAGACAATTCGGTGATAGGTGGATAGGTCGAAGTTGACCTGTGAACTGGTCAGCGAGATAACCAGAACTAATACCTCTAGACTTATTGGTGGGCCGAACTTAAGCGATTAGTGTACAAAGTGTTAGTAATTTAAAGCAGCATATAATAGATGCAATGTGATAAAAAGTAATAGAGATACGTTTGGAAGTTTAACAAACAATATACAAAGAGATAGTTTGTGTTTAGAAGGAGGCAGAGATTTTGAACAATTACTACGAAATCGCTAAAAAAGTAATTTTTTATTTGTAAATAACAATATAATTTTGTAAATATCAGTGCAGTTTGTAAATAAGTTGATTTCTATCTTCGACACACGGCGGAATTATTATTGAAAGAGTGGCAATGAAGTGCTGCTTTTTTTAAATCGCTTTCTTTTATCGACCAAGTGTTTTACGAATAACTAGTATATGTTTTTTTTTATATTGGGTGTTTGTGAAACGCTCTCAAAAACTAAGACAGACGATAGTACTAAGGATACCTTTGTTGATGGGACAAAAAGAAAATCGATCCTGATGAAAAAAAAATGATGGTTTTACAATGTTTAATTAGAAATAATTGCATACAATAAATCACGAAAATACCTAAATATAAAACAAGAAATGAAAATTAAACCTGAAATCAGCTGATTATGGGTTCAAAACACACGCGGGCGCTGAACTCTTTTTATCTAGCTCGGTGCGAAACAATGTAATAGTTATTACTGTATTTACGCTCATTCTATCCTTCCCATTCACACACGCGTGCCACCTGGCCGATTCGTGTCGCCTTGTAATTTACACTACCTGCCTTGCCAAGAACCCCAAATAGAATAATTGGGGATAAAGATTTAAAATTTGCGGCAATAAACCTTTTTTCAAGAAATCTAAAACTTACCTTAACATTTTCTTAGGCTACTTACTCTCCCTTTTTTTAATTATCATCTTGCACCACATTTAATTTTCGGATTTATTTTGTCAAAATTTGTGTGTCATTTAATGCTTTTCATTTCTTTTTTTTTAAATTTTACAGCAGAGTAAATGCAGCTACTATGGTCCTTTTTAATGACAACAAGGGAAGGAATTAAAAATATACCATGGTGTAAAATGCTTGTTACAAAAATATGGCATGAAAAAAAATTCGCTAAAAAAGTTAGTTAAAAAATAAATCTTATAAATTAATCGATAATTGTTTCATTACTTAAAATAAATTTGAGGGGAATTAGACACGGATTTTCGAGGAATTTGACATGGATTTTCGAGGAATTTGACAAATAGGTGTTTCGAAAATCGAAATTTACTTAGCAGGGGAAATAAGAATTAGAGGCGGCAATCACAATAAAACTTGAAATTAATTTTAATAGTTTTGACTTACCATTTTTTAAATTCAACGTATTGGACAGAATAAAACAAGAAAAGTCAATTAAAATAAAGTAAAAAAAAATAAGGATAGTAAATATACGCAAACTATTAAATTATTGAGTACCATTAAATTATATAATTTATAAAAACTAATTTAGTGTTTATAAATTATATTTATTAATTTCAATATCATTTTTGTTGTAACGAACTGCTTGTTGCGTACAATTGTTGATTGTCTAATTGTATTAAAAAGTTAGTTCATTCTGCGTAGATCGGACCAAAGATAATAATTAAAAAGCTGAAGGTACTCCGGGTTAACTTTGACATCGGGACGTCAGTCACCTCAGTCCCCTGTGACCATGGGTGCTCGAAAGCACCCGAAACGTCGGGTATCAAAAATAAATAAAACGCGATAAAATCCGTAAAAGTAGTTTTAATCAATGTATTATAAAGGACAATTATAATTTAAAAATTCCATATGAAGGCTAAAAGTTGGGAATGTCGTAACGGTTTAATGAATGACCTGTGCAATGGTCAAAGTGCTAACCGCAAGGACTCACGAAAGTAGCGGTGGGCATTTATGTTGGCGCAATTTATTATTAATTATAGTTTTTGAAACAGTTCCGTGTAAATGCGCGCATGAGCGACAGTTCCATCGTTTTGTTTATGAACTTGTTGTAAGGTTTTGTTTCTTGTTTGGTTTTAATAATGCCTAACGCGAACGTTTATAATGCTAGTAATACGTCAACATGTTAATGTGCTTTGGAAAAGCTCGCTGAAATACTTCGCGTGCTTTGCGAATTTACAATTTTATAAAGTATCGCTAAACTGTTCTGGCGTCGGGATGGAACAAGTGTGTCATCCTGGACAGTTCACAAGGTGTTAAAGCGTAACCGATTGCGCACATACAAAGTTTTAATTCCCGGCGATAACTACAGCCGGCAAGTTTTCTGCCATTTTTATAAGACCAGCAACAACGTGTACTTCGTTTCATTGAGCACGTCACCTGGACGGACGAAAACGGCCTGTGTAACCGAAGAAATACACCACGTGTATTCAAGTTCCAATTTCAATCTCTTGAGCTTACTACTTAAACCCAATGGTCGGTTAACGTAAGGGCGGATTTATTTAAGAATTTATTTAAGGATTTAGATCTGTAAGCTGTTTGAAACCTAATTTTTTTAAGTAACTTAAATTTTTCATTAGCGGGGAATCGAACCAGCTATTTGGTTTATTTAACCTGTGAATTCGAATTTAAGAGGCTAGGTGGAGACTAGCACAGTGTCAAAATAGTAGGTTGAGTAGATAAGTTAGGTATTTAGACAAGTATTGTAAGTTAATAGCTATTATTACGACCGCATGCTGCGGCACTTGAATAGATAATTCCGTTTATCTACTCATATGGCTGCGGGCCGCGCGGATTCGGCCTCGCGCGTATAATAACTGCTGGTTTTATGTTTTGGTATTTTAATGATTTTTTATGAAATTATCGTTTCATTTAGCTGTACTAACATATATAATAGAGCGTGAATAAAGGTAAGTAAACTTTGTAGAAAAAATGATTTTTTTTTCATCGCAATCGATATTCTTTATGTCCCATCATCAAAAGTATCCTTAGTACTATCGTCTGTCTTCGTTTTCGGGAGCGTTTCACTAATACCCTGTATAGTAGTTAGTATAGTAGTAATTTATATAGAAGTTTTTTATATAGTGACAAACGAGCACACAGGCCACCTGATGTTAAGTGGATGATGTGGCCCATATACATCTATCTACACTTATCTTTAATTAAAAATCAAAATGCAGATGCGTTGCCAGCCGCGACGACTGAGATGGAATGCCTCGTATCCAGTAAAAGTTTGTAGTTAATATTCCACGCATTAGAACCAAACGGTTTACTCCGACTTTCTTATGCGTACACCAAAGGTGTGGAATAATTTGCCGGCGTCTATCTTTCCGTCCGAATACAATCTGGGCGTCTTCAAGGCAAGAGTGAATAGGCTTTTGTTACGCTAAGACAGTGCGATTTACCATTTAAGGCTGCATCACCACTTACCACCAGGTGGGATTATGGTCAAGCACTGGCTTCTATTCTACTTACATAAAACACCATGTTATTTTCCAGAAGGTACAAATAGTAACACTCAGTATATATGTGTAGCGCGCATGTACATGTAAAATTACCCTCTGTTGAAGTTGTTAATTGTAGTTGTCCAAATATTTGAAAAGCTCTTTTCTAACCTCTATGTACGCTCAACACATTTCCAGTTCGAAGTACTAGGTTTTATACACAGAGTGATAGAAAATTGTTACGTTAATTGTAATACAATGCTTTGCAACTAATATATTGCCTCTACTCACCATACTTTCACATAGCAGCGCCAAATCGGCGAGCACGTTAATGTCACTGACAATCTCACGTCGGGACACTTCACCGTCACCGAGACTCGAACCTAGAATCTCAGCTTCGCGTTCATATGCTTGCTTAAGCTCCTGTGAAAAGTAATTTTATAAAAATAAACTGTAATTAAATTTTCATTTTGTTATTTTTACTATAACATTAATCACAAAAACAATCATACCAACAGTCTATCCAAGTTTGGACCTAGCGTTCTCGAAGAATGACTTATACTCTGCTGGTCGGCTGGTGGATTAATAAATACTGCACTGCATCACTGCGTGTAATTTTATTGGTTCTGTATACTTTTCAGACCAGAACACAACAGTGCACGCACTGTTATAAGTAAGGTAGGAGTTCTTTTCCGACTGATACGCGGATCTGTAAAGCGGAGTATTTGACAATACTTTTACTCGTCGGCCAATGTATAGGTAAGCTTACGTACAAACAAATAAATTGAATTGAATACAATATGCGAATAAAATTTTATTTATAATTATTTTAAACGCTTGGATTTCGTTAAGTTACTCGTATTTGTATAACTAATTGTGATAACGCATTTTAAAGGAATTAGATGGTTTTTGTTATATGCTGTATATGGGATATGTTAGAGAAAATTTATAGTTTGAGAAAATTAAACAACGCGCATTGATTATAAATTGTGATGATCCTGAGATTATTTTATTTTAACCGATTAAGTTGTTAAATTAATGTGTTCTAATCGGTTCTTGATATGAGTGCAAAATATCAAGTCAACTGACCGTTTACAAGTTGGTAAAAATTATATTTGTAGGACGAACACGTGCCGTCGCGGCAAGGCTCATCAGAGATGTCACGCGCTGGTACGAGTATTTTGTATAAAACGAACACGTGCCGTCGCGGCAAGGCTCATCAGAGACGTCACGCGCTGGTACGAGTATTTTGCATAAAACGAACACGTGCCGTCGCGGCAAGGCTCATCAGAGACGTCACGCGCTGGTACGAGTATTTTGTATAAAACGAACACGTGCCGTCGCGGCAAGGCTCATCAGAGATGTCACGCGCTGGTACGAGTATTTAGTATAAAACGAACACGTGCCGTCGCGGCAAGGCTCATCAGAGACGTCACGCGCTGGTACGAGTATTTTGTATAAAACGAACACGCGCCGTCGCGGCAAGGCTCATCAGAGACGTCACGCGCTGGTACGAGTATTTTGTATAAAACGAACACGTGCCGTCGCGGCAAGGCTCATCAGAGACGTCACGCGCTGGTACGAGTATTTAGCATAAAATGAACACGTGCCGTCGCGGCAAGGCTCATCAGAGACGTCACGCGCTGGTACGAGTATTTTGTATAAAACGAACACGTGCCGTCGCGGCAAGGCTCATCAGAGACGTCACGCGCTGGTACGAGTATTTTGTATAAAACGAACACGTGCCGTCGCGGCAAGGCTCATCAGAGACGTCACGCGCTGGTACGAGTATTTTGTATAAAACGAACACGTGCCGTCGCGGCAAGGCTCATCAGAGACGTCACGAGCTGGTACGAGTATTTTGTATAAAACGAACACGTTCCGTCGCGGCAAGGCTCATCAGAGACGTCACGCGCTGGTACGAGTATTTTGTATAAAACGAACACGTGCCGTCGCGGCAAGGCTCATCAGAGACGTCACGCACTGGTACGAGTATTTTGTATAAAACGAACACGTGCCGTCGCGGCAAGGCTCATCAGAGACGTCACGCGCTGATACGAGTAGTTTGTGTGAAGCGTATACGTGCCGTCGCGACAAGGATCATCTGCGACATCGCACGCTGGTATAAGTATCTTGTGTAAAACCTACACGTGCCGTCGCGGCAAGGCTCATCCGCGACGTCGCGCCCTGGTACGAGTATTTTGTGTGAAGCATATACGTGCCGTCGCGGCAAGGATCATCTGCGGCATCGCGCCCTGGTACGAGTATTTTGTGTGAAGCATATACGTACCGTCGCGGCAAGGATCATATGCGGCGTCGCGCCCTGGGACGAGTATTTTGTGTGAAGCATATACGTATCGTAGCGACAAGGATCATCTGCGGCGTCGCGCGCTGGTACTAGTATTTTGTGTGAAGCATATACGTACCGTCGCGGCAAGGATCATCTGCGGCGTCGCGCGCTGGTACGAGTATTTTGTGTGAAGCATATACGTACCGTCACGGCAAGGTTCATCTGCGGCGTCGCGCCCTGGTACGAGTATTTCATGTGAAGCATATACGTACCATCGCGGCAAGGAACATCTGCGGCGTCGCGCTCTGGTACGAGTATTTTGTGTGAAGCATATACGTACCGTCGCGGCAAGGATCATCTGCGGCGTCGCGCCCTGGTACGAGTATTTTGTGTGAAGCATATACGTACCGTCGCGGCAAGGATCATCTGCGGCGTCACGCCCTGGTACGAGTATTTTGTGTGAAGCATATACGTACCGTAGCGGCAACGATCGACTGCGGCGTCGCGCCCTGGAACGAGTATTTTGTGTGAAGCATATACGTACCGTCGCGGCAACGATCGTCTGCGGCGTCGCGCCCTGGAACGAGTATTTTGTGTGAAGCATATATGTACCGTCGCGGCAAGGATCATCAGTGACGTCGCACGCTGGTATAAGTATTTTGTGTAAAACGTACACGTGCCGTCGGGCAAGGATCATCAGCGGCGTCGCGCCCTGGTACGAGTACTTTGTGTGAAGCATATACGTACCGTCGCGGCAAGGATCATCTGCGGCGTCGCGTCCTGGTACGAGTATTTTGAGTGAAGCATATACGTACAGTCGCGGCAAGGATCATCAGTAACGTCGCACGCTGGTATAAGTATTTTGTGTAAATGTACACGTACCGTCGCGGCAAGGATCATCAGTGACGCTGGTATGAGTATTTTGTGTAAAACGTACACGTGCCGTCGCGGCAAGCATCATTTGCGACGTCGCGCGCTGGTACGAGTATTTTATGTAAAAGATACACGTGCCGTTGTCGCAAAGATCATTTGCGACGTCGCGCGCTGGTTCTAGTATTTTATGTAAAACCGTACAAGTGCCGTTGCAGCAAGGCTGATTCGCGACGTCGCGAACTGGTAGGAATATAAATTTCGCGCTCTCCGCCACCGTGTTGCGCTCGAGTCGATCAGTCGGCAGCCGCCTCGCATATAGATTGTCTGTACGCTTCGTTACGTCGGCGTCTAATAGTTTTGCTTGATAAATGATAAATTATATAGAATTGAAAATATAGTGTTTGTAGTACTGTGTGTAATTTTTTTTCTTTGCTAAGCTTCCCTCGCTGGCTGAACTGTAGCCCCTACTAGGCCTCTATCACTCTTGCTACCTACGTGAAATATTTACCTAAAATCGCGACGTGCCCGGGCGAAATAACGCAGTCAGGGCTAGCGCGTTGGAGGCGATTGAATGTTAAAATGTTTTAACGCTGTTGACGCGTGTGTGTGTGTGTGTGTGTGTGTGTGTGTGTGTGTGTGTGTGTGTGTGTGTGTGTGTGCGTGCGTGCGTGTGTGCGTGCGTGCGTGCGTGCGTGCGTAGATTAGTATATTTAATTGTAGGTAAAAATAGTTGTAAAAGTTTTAATGTATTTTAAAAATTATTATTTGATTAATTATAACTGTTGCGTGGATGGATACTAAATGAAATGACCAACAAAAGAATTCATCATTCTTTAAGTTACCGAATAATTTCAGACGGAAGTTATGAAAGGTGAATTTTTTTTTGTTGGATATGTACTTAGAGTAAAAAGAATTAATTAATAATAATACATGCTCGTCGGTTAAGGGTACTTTGAACGTGGCCCATTTTCAAAATATCGCCGATTTGGTTGATAAACTTTTTTCTAGGGCGTCCCTTCCCGACTCTGCCGTTCACATCTGCCATATAAATTTGTTTTGTCACTCTTTCCTCCTTCATTCTTTCTACATGACCAAACCACCGAAGCATTCCTTTCTTAATCCTGGTCACAACATCATCTTGCACACCACATTTATCTCTTATCATGCAATTTCTTATCCTGTCATTCAGATACAACCCTAGCATACTCCTTAAAGACCGCATTTCTACAGCATTTATTCTACTTTCGTGCTTCTTCTGCCACACCCAGCTTTCACTACCATACATTAAAGTAGGGACTAACACAGCATTATGAATTACCATACGTGCCTTTTTTGATACATTCTGGTTCTTCACAATAGAGTGTAGTGCCCCATTCACGCTATTCCCTGCATTTACTCGTCGTTCTATATCCCTATCATATCTACCATCCCTGCTAAATACACATCCCAAATACACAAACTCATCCACTTGCTCAATTAACTCTCCTTCTATTCTTATTTCACATACCGTTTTGCTTTCTTCTCTTTCAAAAACCATCACTTTCGTCTTACTTGCGTTCACTTTCATTCCCCTTTCTTTTAATGTCAAGTTCATTAATGTAACCATCATTTGCAACTCAGCCGCCGATGACGCAAATATGACTTGATCATCGGCATACAAAAGGCATTTGACGCTGACATACCTATACTTGTGTTTTGTAATTAAAATATTTTAAGTTATAATAACACAAAATACTAAAATTAAAACTTTGTAGGTATACTAAGAAGATTTTAAATAAGTAGAATAGATCACATTTCTGTAAAGAATCGTATTTCAGATTTATTTGTTGTTTACACTATCTACCTATTTCTTCCGAACCAAGCGTTGCGATTCCCGACGAATGACCTTGCAATTTGCATGCATTAGGTATCGCAGAACTCACATAGGGGCGAAAGTATGGTCAGTCGATCATAGTCAGAATAGGTACTTCACCTAAGTAACATAATTAACATTTCGCGATGTATTTTTTTACTTTCTATTGACATCCCTTAATAATCACGGAAAGTCCGCCGTGACTTAGGTAGCGGAAAAGATGCAAAGTAATATGGACACTAAAGCGCAGCGATAAAGTTTTATTTGGCTTGCGTGCGCGATTTATCTTATTAATAATAATTATGTAGGCTATTAAACATCGGCAAGCAAGTCGACATCAAAGGAGTGCAACTTATGTACGTAGTACTATTATTTATTCTGTGCCACTACATATTTGAATATTTCGTTAGATAGAAGATACACGCGAAGCTGTGTAATAAAAAGAATGTGTTAAAAAGATTTTCATATGCGGAGTGTGCGCATGTCCAGTGAGCTAGAGTGGGATCCTATACGGTCCACTGAAGTGCGTGTGATATTATCAATCGAACTAGGAAGTTAACATGTGGGGCTGTCGGGTAGAGCTTCACCTGCGGCGTGTGTGCGGTGTGCTCGAGCGCGGCGCGGTAGTTGGACAGCGACTGCAGGAAGCGCACGATGTCGTCATCGGCCAGCCAGCGCGCGGCGCGCGACGGTAGCGGCGGCTGCAGGCGCGCATGCGCAGCGCGCGCGGCGGCGGCCAGCGCAGGCAGCACGTGCGCGGGCGCGCGCAGCGCCGCGCCTCCACCGCACGCGCCGCAGCGCCGCGCGCCCCAAGCGCACTCGCGCACCGCTTCCCACGCGCGCTCCGCGAACACGCACACGACGCGCGCACTTCTGCCACACATGCATGCAATCATACATAATATTTATAATAATAAACTAAATACTAAGTACTACCCGTGCGGTTGAAAATAGGATTGAAAATGGCGTCACCTCTATTCCAACGACTACACAGCTCGAATAGACGCCTAATGTATGTACTTTTGCATCCAAACCTGTCTGTCAAAAGCCTGAGGTATGCGGTACGGGGGAGGTGGGTTAAAATGCACGCTAATTGGTTAAAATCAAGGTTGCGACACTTGCTAATAAGCAAATAGTGTTGGGAACTTTAACTAATAAATTTGATACCAAGTCCACTTAATCAGTACCAGAATTATACAATATGTAACGTAATTAACGCACACCCTCAGACACCCCAATTAGTATATTATGTTATAATCATAATACATACACTGAATTTTTAGTTAAACATTTTTATGCACTGATTATTTATGAAATTAGTTATACTAATTCCGGAAGAATGTTGTGGTCACAGTACAAATCCACGAACGCGAATACTTTAACGTGCTTGAAATAAAGTTCATTGTTCTTTATTTTTTTGAATGACAGAATTAGTAGTAATAATACAAATAAAACTGCGCTCTTTAAAAGTCTTATTGCCTTAAGTTACGGTCCATTTCAGTTTTGACTGTACAGATTTAGTGTGACTGTAATTTACGTAGTTTTAATTATTTTTGGGATAAAAAATTACCTATATTAAAATTGATAGGAATCGATTCAGTAAATGATTCTGAACAAACTACTTTCTCAAAGTGCGTTAATTATGTTACATGTTGTATATAGGTTAGTACAAAATTAAAAAAAAAAACAAACAAACGAAGTTTTATTTAAGTAGGTATCGTATTTATTTTATTTACAAACTTACATGTAACACCTTAAGCTAAAGGGTACATAGGGCGGACTTAATGCCATGAGGCATTGTCTGCCAGTCAACCCTGGATGCCAAGGACAATTGTTGGTGCGACCATTATACATAAATAAGTGAACATACATACACATACATTAAAATATACATATATACAAAGTACATACATACACAATACATTTAAATATACACACATATAGTATAAATATATGTACAATACATATAGTATAAATATACGTAAAATACCTACAATTTTTTGTTTTAAAGAATATTTTTTATTAAAACAAGCTTTCTTTACAATATTGAAATAATAATAGAATACTATTAAAAATAAAATAGCAGTACAAACAATTATTTAAACTATTAAGTTCACTTCCGTTTCCTACTTTTCTTGACATGACGTCTTAGCAGTAAAGAGAGCGAAGTGCCGTCTATTAAAACTTACCGTATATCAATTTTATTATGAACTATTTTTAAAAAAATTTTGAATAATTTAATTTAATTATTAAATCAATTAATTCAAAAATGCACTATTACACTTCGCTTACAGTATAAGTCTGTAAAACATTCACGACATGTAATACTTACTTTACCAAATTATAGTTTAACGTACAGCAAGTTACACGTGGTAATAAAAAAAGTATAGCAACAATTAACTGCATTAAAAAGAAAGGAATGCAAAGTTCGAAAATATCCGAATAAATTAACGCGAGTTGCTTGTGACAAATATAGGTTGAGCTCTGATTTAATTTTAATTAATTAATTTCAAATTAAAATTCACTGATCTATGAAAAGTGATGCCATTTTTTTTTAAATTACACATTTGGCTACTATTTCCGCACTATTTTATTGTACAGGAAACCATGTTGCGCGTCTGTTGCATTTTATTTTGTTGAAAATTCACGAGTCACATGCAAGATGTTCACGGGTCAGGGAAGTGGTCCGTACTAAAGTAGATCGCGCGATCGTTTTCATAAGACGTATTTGTCTGATGTGTTGACAGAAAGTGTTCGCCTTTTATGAGGCGTCTATTCGGGCTGTGTAGTCGTTGCCTCTATTCACTTCTCGCTCGCACACTGTCACTATCTATACTCACACCCGCCGATAAAGACTGTAAAAAATACATTGCGAATTGCGATAGGCTTTTTTCGATACGTCGTATAAATTCGGTCCAACTTATCCTTGGAATCAATGGATAACAAATTCCCATAAACTACAAAAAAATCAATCTGGTTTTGCTAATTTGTGAGCCACAACGCATTCTGAGTTTTCCTCGTAATGATCCTTGATTTTGTTTGTTAATGTTTTTGTATGAAATATTTACATGCCATTGAAACTTGAGTAACCCTTTTCAAAAATTGTATTCGTCTGCCTGTCGGAACTATTTATTATTCGGAATGGCAGAACTGATTGTAATAAAACTTCACGAACAAATAAATTGTAATACCAGGGGTGAATAGTATGAACTCTAAATTTTATTGACAAAATTTAGAGATTTATTTAAAAATAGAAATACTAATAGCGAATAAAAGTCTAGGTTTCATAATTAGAACTTCGCATCAGTTTAAAAATGTCCGTGTGATAAAACTTCTGTATAATGCCTACGTGCGAAGTAAGCTAGAGTATAATGCCTTAGTATGGAACCCCCGAGAAACCATGTATATAATGGTATATAAAAACCCACCCATTTCTATATCCGTCAATATTTGTATCGGGCATGGTTGGTCTGGATACCCTACAGTGTAGGCGGGAACTTATGCATATAATGCATTATTATTTCTTGTTAGTTAACAAAGTAGATAATCCTGCAGTTCGTGAGACCATACATTTTTATGTACCGGACCAATATGTACGAGGTGCTGGTAGACGAAAGTGTAGACTCCTCTCCTGTCCGCGTACGTGGAGCTCCCCACACGCAGATAACAGTCCCACTTCCGGAGCCGTTAGACTAATAAACTGTTTTCTCAGGGTCAATACAGACGCAGATATATTTTTTGACAAACCCAGCTCAATGTATAAAAATGTGTTAATATTCTTAAATAACTTCGTAAGATAGAAGAATAGTATAAGTTTAGGTAATTAAGTTTAATTTATGATAAAGTAAAAAGATCTCATTATACTGTTGTGGCTGTAATTTATATGGTGTATGGTAATATTTAATAATTGGTGATTTTTTTTATTGTTTACTTTATTTTATTTTTTAAGTTTAGTATAGATATCATCAATAATCATCAATAGAATAAGTGATTTGGTTGTATATACTGTAATCTTATATTTTATCAATAAATGAATATGAAAAGTAATAAGATAAAATAAATGGTCTTTAATGGTTATTTTAAGTCTAAATAACGCCACATTCATAGAACTCAGCCAGAAGAAGCCAGATCGGGTCACTAGTTTTAAACGTAATTTTAAAATTAATATACCTACCTAAATATACAATTCTTTTAAAATATTTTCCCATTAATAGAAAATTTCCAATTAACTGAATAATATAACGTAATAACAATATACCATTATTAGCGCATTTAAACGGTACGGAGCTGATGACTCGCCATTTCTAATCCCACTCTATATCCGTACGAACTTTAAGTAAAACTTCTACAACTAATCAATTTATTCAAGCAGTTGAATCTCAATAAATAAAGTGACATTACGAGTACGACGCAAGGATTTTAGTCTGGACGTTTGAGAATAAACTCATGGCGACCAAAATCTGCGAGCTCAAATATAGAAGGCGCTGCTCCTCGATAGCGCCCGCATCGTCCGCCGGTTTGTCTCTCCGTCTCCCTAACCCTCAACCGTTTCATTTCTCCTGCCGAAGGCTAAAATCTTAGGTTTTTATTTATTTACGAATGTATTATATATTTATATTATGAAGTGATGGTCTTAATGGAGACAGTTTTTTTGGGCTCACTACAAATGGTTACTTTTGTTATTGTTATTACACACATAAAAGGAAAACAATTTACCTTAGTAAACGGGCTAAAGATTATATGAAAATCCAACGGAATAATAAAATCTTACAAAAATTAGAATGTATTGATAAACATCTTTCGGTTAAAGTATAAATGAAGAAAAAAAATGCGTGTAAAGAAGCATTTTTGCAGTTTGTACAAAAAAAAATTACTTTGGTAATATACTGCATATTAGAGGTATTTAGTAAGTAAAGAGGTGTTATTGCAACTTGTTTTTAATCCTATTTTATAAAAGTGTTAGCTAATATCGTATAACATAATGATAAAGTAATGATCATGAAATGAAACGTAGTAAATACTAATTAATAAAAATAAAAATACGATATCGAAACATAATATCGATATTGGACGCAACACCATTATCATATAAATAATATCGATACTATTAGGTATCCAAGTAATATTTATAATGACGACCACAACTTTTTCTGCCACCAGGGCGCCACTTGGAATGAAGTGAAATATTTGACAGATTTCTTAGCTTTGTCAGAATAGTGTAGAGATTAACGTTCCTTTTTGAAATATCAGCTATATATTAAATCAATTAGTTTAAAATGGATTAACCGAACTAAGGATATTCCTGAAAGTGAAAGAATTAAAAAGATAGTTTAAAATGTTCAAAAAATTAAAGAGCAACCACTGAGGCGTTGTCTTATGTGTATTTAGGTGTATACCTTCTGTGTACTAAATATCGGGAATATGTCTATAAAACAAAAAATACAAATTATTCATCTAAATTTATTTTATCGCCTTCAAAGTAGGCCCCATCGCTTGCAATACAACATCTCCAACGCTTCACCCAGTCTTCCATACATTTTTCATAGGCTATTTGCGGTATGGCCTTTAGCTCATTCAGCGAATTTTTTGTTATGGCTTCTATCGACTCAAAACGTTTTCCTCCAAGTGGTAATTTTAACTTGGGAAATAAAAAAAAGTCAGACGGAGCCATATCAGGCGAATACGGTGCTTGGTCGAGAACTTTTGTTGAATTTTTCGCTAAAAACTCTTTCACTATAATGGCTGTGTGTGATGGTGCATTATCATGGTGCAGCATCCATGAGTTGTGTTGCCACAAATCTGGACGTTTTCGGCGGATACTCTCACGCAAACGCTTCATAACGCCTAAATAATATTCTTTATTCACTGTTTCTCCCTTTGGAAG